GATCGTTGTGGGTTGGCATTTGGTTTCGTGCGTAATTAGTAGATACATGCATGGCGGTTAAGTTGTATCAAAGTGTATTAATTTATTCGTATTTTAGTAACTTAATTAGAGAAAAAAATAAATAAAATCCAAAATCGTGGTTTAAGACATAGTGGCATAAAACGAGAACGATGGTGCGCCAAAAAATTGCAGTGATTAGAGCGATTTCTTATTTTATTGATTCGAATACCGAATTTCCACTAAGCGTTGAAAGGACAAATAATGACATTATTCTCAAAATAAAGATTTGCTGTTATCCGAAGCACAGTACTTAGTTATTTCGGTGACAATAAATTTAGTCGGGGGGGTCAGAACGTCAACCTAACTTCCCAGGAACCAACCCTACCGGTGTCCGTGATAACGAATTTCCACTAGGCGTTGAAAGGACAAATAATGACATTATTCTCAAAATAAAGATTTGATGTTATCCGAAGCACAGTACTTAGTTATTTCGGTGACAATAAATTTAGTCGGGGGGGTCAGAACGTCAACCTTACTTCCCAGGAACCAACCCTACCGGTGCCCCTGAGCAGAATCAGAACTTCAGCCGTTGGACCCTAGAGGGTTCATCCGCTAAGTTCTTGACAACACCCGCTCACGTTCGACTCATATAGTGGTCGAAAACAATGTAGCCGCACCAAAATTTACAAGTTTTGCTATATAATTTTTTTTTTATTTTTATAAAAATATAGTTAATTATTTGACAAAAACCCTGTAAATCCAACTTTAAAATATGTATTTAAAAAAAAAATCAACTTTCGTAAAAATTTCGAGATATTTTAGAAAGATTTTCTGCCCATTGAATTCTATTTGAATAAAGCACAAGTTTCAAATGGCTCAAAATTACCGTTGTTTTCTTAGGATCTTTATTTTTTGCCGAAGATATTACGTTTTTCTTTCATATGAAAATAAATTGGGTTTATTCGTCACATGGAAGCAAATGGGGGAAAAAACTAAAAAATAACGGTAATTTTTAGTCATTTGAAACTTCTACTCTTTATTCTATTAGAATTCAATGAGCTACAAAACTGCATACTCATACTTTTTTTAATTTGTTTATATTGGTTTACTTTCACATTTGACATTTCTCACAAAAATAATCAATTCAACTAAGTAGGTTAGACACCGAAAAGTTATCAGTTTAATTTGAGATTATTTTATAATTACAAATTCTAGAGGGAGGAATTTTTTGTGGCTAATCTCTTTTTCCAAATACAGATTAGGGAGTAAAGCTCGAAAATGAGGATAATCTTCTTATATGTAAACCTAGTATTAGAAATCTTAATAAAAGCTCAAGATTTTTACGTAAGTTCGTGGAAATTTTGTTAAAGAATGAACTATATTCTTATAAAAAATAACAAAAATTAAATAACTAAAAATAATAATATATTAAAACTTGCCAAAATGTGGAAAAAATGCACGACTCGGCCAGGGATCTTCTTAACAACTTCAAACTAAAGTTTAGTTATTGGGCCATAAATCTACAAACCAGAAATTTCTAGAAATTCCAATTAAAAAGTTTGCAATTTAAACGATTTTTTTTTTAATTTTTCTAATTTTCACAAAGTTTGGAATTTGGATTTAATGAACATTAAACATTCAAAAGAACAATCGTCAAAACTGGTCAAAATGCCGGACTACTATTTTGTTGCAGGTGTATTTGTTGTGTAGGTACATATCTACATATCTACATATTTATATTTAATTACGAATATAAAAATAAGTTATAATTAACGAATTCAATTCTCTAATTTAAAATAAAATAAAATACTAAATAATAAATACTTTCTTTTTTCTCCCTTCCCTACTTGCAGGAAGGTAGATCACCCCTCTCTTCTGGCAATGAATCAGACGATTCATCCGACGCCGAATCGCCGGGACCCGCCTTACAAGCAACCAAAAGTCAAGCCGTAATATCCGAAGCGAGTGCGCAGGATTGCAGTAGGCAGCAAACAGCGGCCACTACATCCGTCGCTGCAGCGAATGCGGCCAAAAATATTGCCTATGCCGCCGTCGCCGAGGACTTGACACCAAGCAGCAGCTCATCAGCTGTTGGTGAAACGAGAACCAAACACAATACGAATGCACAGCAGGAAATACAACCAACAACAGCCAGCACCTTCAACAACAGCTGAGGCCTTAACCTATTCAGCTGCAACGCTATCTAGTCTGCCGCAGGATATGCTCTTAAAGCTAATACAATCTGGTCACTTGCAATTGCATACTGAAGAAGGTGGGTGATAAAACACAATGAAATTTATTGAATTATTTATTTTAAATGTTTATAATTTTTATTAATGCTTTTACCTTTCAGATGGCAGCGGACAACAGTATATTTCGATACCTTTATCGACGAACGCTGCGCAAACATTGAAGTCAACGAAGGATGTGCATGCAAGAGCTGGCCTTTTGGAGGCCAAGGATATGCGTTTGAAAGAAACAAAATCAGAGCAGCGACAGCAGCAGCAAACTTTGAAAGCTGCAACAGCAAGCAATAATGCTGCTGTAAACTCAGCTGCTATAATGATAAAGCAAGAGCTTGATTGAATACAAAATATTGATTCAACACAAAGACTTGATGCTTGCCGAAAAAAATTAAACAAACAAAAACGAAAAACAAAGTGTGAGAGATAGTTAAAGCAGTTTTTATAATTTAATTACAATGTAAATTCAGTTTTATCTAAGCAGAAAAAAGTGTAATACCTTGCTCTATATGTGTATGTACTTATATGCTTACAGTGGTGGTCAAAACATATGGAACTACTTCACTGGCACTTTTTCTGCACTTTGCACTAAAAAATTTAATAACTATAAACAAATAAAAATTCGAAAATTGGGCTTAACTACATAGTCTCTTGCAAATTTTATTAGCTTTCATTAAACATTTTTTTTTTATCAAATTGGTTGAGAAATTAAGGCTCCAGTGAATTATGAACATAAAATCCCATTTATTGACCACTGTGCGGGCCAAGTATGAGATCCCAATAAATAATATTGGTGCATACACTCTTATTTGGCCGAATTCTCCTCCAATTTGTGGTGTGCCCCTTATGTTACAAAAAACAAAAAGAGGGAGCTACAATTTTATGCCGCCACCGAACGGCGAATCGTTTGTTATTGGCCAGACTTTAGAAAATATTCGTTTCAGTTTCATATGTTTTGACCCTCACTGCGTACGTACATATACAGCACATTAGTGTTCCTAAATTATTTTCCGTGATAATCGAGCGTCTCAAAGAAACCCAAGCAACCCACAGGCCAGGAACTTGAATATGAAAGTTATTGTTAAATAGTTTTGTTACTTTCTTCTTCTTCTTGTATTTCGAAGCCAAATTTAATAAACCTAAATATTTATACCTACTTATCAAAAATATATATACATAGATGATGGAACATTACTCATATACGTGAGTTACTTAATAGTGCCATCAAGACCAATTTCAAACCAATTTTGGTTATTTCACACATCTTTTTCTAAGATACATTCTATTTAAAAAAGTTCCTTTTTCATCATATTTTGCATGCACCTACATAAATATATTTTATACATACTACTCTGTATATACTAGCAACAATTTGCACTTTTAATATTACTCATGCATCCATCATCACTTCATTATTAATTTTTCCAACGCATCAAATATGAATATGTAGTTTAATTGCCACATTCTCAATTTCCAATTGTCCATAACTAATTTGGCTTATTCAGAACTTAGATATTTATTTTATGACATTATTTTCCTATTGATTATGAATTTTGTGTCGTGCAAATAGTTAATAACGCCGCCGACACTGCGCATACGCACTCATTCATTGAAGACTCATTTAGCATTCGCAGCGTATGGCGCGACGTTGGCGCGCATGCACATGCGCCGCTTATCATGCTTATCCCGTATGAAAACCCTATATAGTACATACATACATCCACACAACAAATATGCACCGGATGAAATGGCACTAACGCGTTTCCCGTAGCTCTAAACCAATAATACAATATAATCTATGTAAACGTACAACTATATGCTCATACAACCACGTATATTATGTTTGTTTGTGTCTATGTATGTATGAATTTGTTTTGCGATTATTACGCATTATTAATATGGAATTTGTGTATGCAAATATTGTCGTCGACATTCTCCCGAAATGGTAACACAAATTTTCTGATAATTTCTTTATTTTATTTCATTTACTTATTTTTTATTACTACGAGTATTATATTAAATTTGTTTGTTTTATGTGGGTGGAGATGTGGTGCTGTGCGCATACACTGACACATACATATCTACCTGTTTGCATATCTACATANATCCCGTATGAAAACCCTATATAGTATTTACATACATTCATCCACACAACAAATATGCACCGGATGAAATGGTACTAACGCGTTTCCCGTAGCTCTAAACCAATAATACAATATAATCTATGTAAATGTACAACTATATGCTCATACAGCCACGTATATTATGTTTGTTTGTGTCTATGTATGTATGAATTTTGTTTTGCGATTATTACGCATTATTAATATGGAATTTGTGTATGCAAATATTGTCGTCGACATTCTCCCGAAATGGTAACACAAATTTTCTGCCAATTTCTTTATTTTATTTCATTTATTTATTTTTTATTACTACGAGTATTATATTAAATTTGTTTGTTTTATGTG